GTCGTAAGATGGTGGACTTCAAGTAATATAAAATCCAGTTTAGAAAATAGCAAACAGGCTGGGAGATGTCTCTGTTGGTAAAGTATTTGACTTGCAAGCATAGGACCCTAAATTTGATATTCAGAACCCATGTGAAAAGTGCCAAGAACAAGAGGAATATATGTATGTAATCTCAGCACTGGGAGGCAGAAATGGGTAAACTGGATTCCCGAGCCTCACTGGCCAACTGAAGTTCCTGGCCACGCAGAAACCCTGTCTCGGAAGACAAGGGGGATGGCACCTGAAGAATGGCACCTGCAGTTGGCCTTTGGTCTCCACATACATGCCCACATGTGCACCAGCACACACGCACAGACATGCAAAGAGAAACTATAGTGAGTTCACTGAAATGAAGACACCACATTAATGGAAAGAGAAAGTATTCATGGAGAAAGGTTTTACCAGAGTAGCAGGTTATGCTAAGCAAGCTTTAATGTATTTGAGTGGTTTGTATCACATTTCCAAGAGACAAGTAAATATTCTTAACATCCTTGTAGAAGTGAAGGTATTGAGGCATGGAGCAATTATAACACCATGCCCCAGGTAAAAGAGCCAGCCAGCCACTGATTAAAACCCTAAGTCCCAAGCAGTGGCCGGGAGGTTTCTGGAAACCCAGCACTCCATAAAGATGTTAGCTGAACAAAGACAAAAGTAGCCTCACTGGAAAGGAGAAATGGCAGGGTCACAATATGTGCATGGTTTATTTTTCACTGTCGCTGGGGACCAGTGAGAAGTTTTCTTCTGCACCCTGCCTAGAAGCCCCTTCCCCATCCTTTGTGGTTGGTGATCAATGATTATTTAGTGGGTAGCACACTCTAGTGGATAGATCCAGAGCCAGGAGCTAGAATGCCTGGGTTCTGTCCTTTCTTGTGTGGGCTGAAAGTTAGACAGATACCATAAGTCGTATGTAATGAAGTCAAGAAGGGAGATATAAGAAATGACAAAAAATAACCTTCCCACTATGGGATATGGTAAGATTACAAACAGACAGCGCAGAAGATCATCCACTTAGAAGCAGTTAATATTCAACCCAGATATAAATCCCAGACAAAGAAAGGGCCCTGAACAAAATGTCTCATCTCTAACCAAGAGTCTGTTTGGACTGATACCCACTGGCAAAGGAAAAATCAGTTTTCTCCAATGGAGGGTCACTGGATTTATCAACCACACTCCAAAGCAGACCCCATGCCCAGGAGTAATAGAGTCCACGTTTTTTCTTTGTTTTTGTTTTTGTTTTTTTTTGTATGTGTACTTTATGTTTTATTTTAATTGTTTATTGGATTTTTGTTTGCTTGTTTTTACTTTTGTTATTTTGGGGGCGTGGTTGAGAAAGATGATGAAGTTAAATGGATAGGGAAATGAGGGGTGTCTGGGAGGAGTTGGGGGAGGGGGGGAGAAAATAATCAATGTATATTGTATGAAAAATAATAATAATAAAAGAAGTAGTTAATGAATGAAATCCATCCAGTTGTCAGAAGAGGCTGCCTCAGAAGGAAACAGCAGCTAAGTCAAAGAACAACACAGAAAAACTGATCTAAGGCCGCACCTCTGGAAGGCTAGCAGTGTCCAGACTTCTATATACTTGGCTGGTGATTCACATCCTAGTACACACCTAAGAAATCTTGATTTGCATATTTTATGTAAATTGTTGTAATTCGAATCTTAAAAGGTCACCAAAACTAAACTAGATAGAAGTAGGGTTCTAATTTATCAAATGGGCAACACAAGTATCAAATTGTATTTCCTGTGGGTTTGTTGGAGTACCAGCTATGATAATTTCATCACGATTAATAGGATATTAGGGAAAACACACAAGTCTGTAGGATCCGTGGTGGTCTGTCCACCACATTCACCCAGAAGTTGCAAACTTTACACAGAGGATATACGTAATTACGGTCAAATGTGCACAGTCAACGTAGCTGCATGGGGAGCTAATAGAGGGAAAGAGCACACACCTCAATTCCAGACCAGAAATGGAAACATAAGTGGTTGCAGTCACTCATTTGCCCCATTCACTCAGAGTCTAAAAGAGGTAATATTGACCACACACGCTCCTACTGGGCATCCTCCTCGAGGATCATGAGTCTTTAACTACATTAGACATTCAAGCAACCCTCCATGGCTTCCTTTGACTTTCCAGATCATAGGCCAAGGAAAGACTATGAGAATATTCTGATACAAAAAAATTATTAGTAAAATCTACCTACTGAATGAAATGCCATCTATATGATGACTACCATGTGATTATTTCCTATTAGAAATAAACTAGAAATTGCTAAGTTCCTTGCAAGGAACATGCATTTTAATGCATTTGTTAAATTGTCTTTTTATGCCAGGACAGCACCAACTCTTCCTTCATAGGAATTAAAATTCAGTCGTGGCAAGGCTTTTGTGTAGGTTGGACCCAGTCTTCATATGGTTATGCCCAAGTGGGAAAGACAAGTGACCCAGGGCAACTGCCTACTATTTGCTGTGCTTAGGGCCAAGTCTGGCTTGTGGCAGGGCTGAGATTCGCTGTGTTGATCAGGCTCGGTGAATTTGTCAGAATCTATTAAGAACAATTCATAACAGAGTCATCACTGCAGAAACCCATGATATCAGATCCTCTGACTTCCATACCACCAACAAAACAGCAGTGTAGCCACTAAACCCTAAAAGGTCACAAAACGCAACAGTTAATGAACGTTCAGATTGAGCTAACGACATATTTTCTGTGAAACAGTCACCTACAGGATGACCACCAGTTGACTAGATCATATTACTGAATTGGTGAGACTGATACCAGTGGACACACTAATTCTCACTGACTAGTGAGGACACTGGAATAGAAAAATAAAACCAGATAGATTTCAGGAGGTTAAAACTGGACAGTCCTGAGCCTAACACTGGGAGGCACTGGGAAACACACTTGAGAAGGAACTCCTTCTGCTTGAAGACTGCAAAGACAGAGGGGACCAGGTTCCCTCCTCCACCTTCTAACCCTGACCCTGTTGTAATCTGCTAGTCTGGACTGTCACCTGGGTACCCTGTCCCTTTAAGAGACAAGCTTCACCCACTCCCACTCCCCTGAACACACAAGCCTTCCACTGAAGCTAATGGATCTCCTGCCCTCTCTCTCTCTCTCTCTCTCTCTCTCTCTCTCTCTCTCTCTCTCTCTCTCTCNCTCTCTCTCTCTCTCTCTCTCTCTCTCTCTCTCTCTGTCTCTGCCCTTCTACTGGAGAGGCAGCTTCTGCCTCTCTTCTTCCTCCCCTTTTCCCTTTCCCTTTCCCTTCCCTTCCACAACCCACTAAATAAAGTCTATACCCCAAACTCTCTCTGCATGGTGATGTCTATACCCCAAACTCTCTCTGCATGTCTCCCATGGAGGCCTTGGGTGACCCACTGCTGCCCCTCATGGGACTGGTTGGTCCCCTACCATATCTTTATAAATGCTAACAGGCCCTGGGCAGAAGCAGCCTAGCCTCCAGGCCTCCAAGCCTCCAAAGCAGGAATCTGTAGTTCATGCCATCGAGTCCCCCAACCTCAGCAACTCTCCAAAGTTTCTCTTCTCAAATGCCACATCAATGCTAACTTCCATCAACACTGGCAGATATTCTCTGCTGTTCCCTGAGTCTGCAGCCACTATCAGCTGGCCTGTTGCCTTCATAGGTAAACTTAGTTGGTGGTTGGTTTTCTAAGTTTTCTTTAACGTTTTGATCAGCATACAAAGAAGTGGGGCTTACTGTAACTTTTCTTCATATGCATTGTTAGACTCTGTTCCTATTCAGCCCCGACTCCCGTCCCTCTACTGTCCCTTCCCCTCTGCAGTTCCCACCCCTTCTACTTTCATGACATACATATTCCAAGACACTCTCTCATTCCTACCGCCTGTCCATTTAGATCACGTCCTCTTCCTCATAGCCCTCTTTTCTCTTTCCATGCGCCCCCCTACAAATCTGGATTTCGGACACGAGAGAAAAAATATTTGTCTTCCTGAACTTGGCTTATTAGGCCTAGCATAATGATTTCTAGTTCCACGTATCTTCCTCTGAATGTCATAACTGGATTCTTCTTCACAGATACACAAAATTCTGTTGTGTATATGTATTAATTTTCTTCTTCCGCTCTTCTGCTGATGGAAACCAAGCCTGCGTCCATTTCCTAGCTATTGGGAATGGTGTATCAATAAACACAGGTGAGCAAGAAGCTCTGGGATGCTGACCTAGAATCTTTCCACAGCATATAGTAATTCTGTCTTCAGTTTTTAGACAGGCCTTCATACTGATTTCCACAATGCCTTCACCACTTCACATTGTCGGTGGAAGTAAATAAGGGTTCCTCTTTCCGTACATCCTTGTCAGTGTTCGCTGTTGTTTTCTTGACAATAGTCATTCTGACTGGAGTGCAATGGACTCTCCAAGCAGTGTTTTTTAAATTATGTATACGCATGTGTGTCTGAGTATGGGTTTATGAACATGCGTGTCATGCCTGCAAACTCTAGATCCCCTTGGATCCCCTGGAGCTGGAGCTGAAGCAATTATTTTACTATACAAATAGAATACTCTCTTAATTAATTAATATATTAATTATATATATCAATGTAGTATCACAAACACTTATTGAACATTTAATATAGATTAAACACTTTTATAAAGAATTTTACACACCAACCTTTATTTAACGGCATGTTTAATGAAGGTCCTATTAATATTTTACAAATGATGGGACTAAGATGTAGAGCACGTATGTACCTTTGTATCTATCACTCACTACCTACTGAATCTTGAGACTGAGCTTTAAACCCACGTGATCTAATTTTAGAGCCTACCCATTTGATTACAACATATAGCACAGCTATCCCCTTTATTCTTTAATTTCACAGCACAAAAGCAGAAATTCAAGAGTAAAGAAAGCTTTCTGACTATATGCACTCAAAAAAATACTTCCGCGGTGGGCACGTACCAAGATAGGTGAGCACGTACCGAGATAGGTGAGCTGCCCCGATTGGCTGTTGAAGAACCAGTCACAGCCTCTGTCGCGACTGGGCAAAGGGGGAGACTGAAGTAGTGACTGACCCAGGCGACTTCCACACCTGATGAGGATGTCCGGGTAAGGTGGTAGGTCCCCGTGCAGCAGCAGGAGGTGATTTCCAGGGGCAAAGCTGTCAAATGTTGCTGAGTACTGAAGTGAGAAAGAAAAAACACACTGGTAAGCAAGGAGAGCCCTCCCCTCGAAGGGAGTCATTTGGCATCAAAGCAGGTCAACACCAAGCTGGACATTCTGGGCCAAAATAGGCCTATTTAAATCTATTTCATGGGAAGAAACACAAAATCACAGTCGAACTACAAAATCATCAAATGTGAAGACTGAAAAAAAAAAAAAAAACCACCCGGTTCGTCTTGCTCATAACCACCGCTAACAGAGGAGGAGAGCACGGCCCAGACAGGTGAACTGACTTCTCTCGATCAGTCAAAAAGCTGTGAGAGAAGGAGGCAGGTCGGCAGTTCGTTCCCAGCTTTCCTCACAAGATGGAGAGGCAAGCCGTTGTTAGGAACTCTGCATGCGTAGCAGCCATGGCTGACACTGCCAAGGGTACCTTCCTCACCACGAGGCACTATTTCTGTGATTCATTCAACCCAGAGAGCCTGGTGATGGTTAATCTCAGTGTCCTATTCTAGAGCATACAGTAACGTTCTCAGATCGCAAGGCAGGACAGTGCCGAGCCAGGACACAAACCATCCTGAGCCTTATTTTTAGCTTTGGGGAAAATCCCTTGGATCCACATGGTAAACCCAGTGGAAAGCAAAGAGAGGTAAGGGGACCAATATCCTTCCTCGGAGCTATGGTGAGAAGATCACATAAGCCTTTCCTGTATCCCTAAGATAAACTTTTACAGTTGTGTGGACCAGGTTGCCTGTGGTACAGTGAGACCAAACCGTGTGAAAGGAAAAATAAGCTAAAGGAAACCTGTTGAATTGCTGTTTCCATTTCAAATTTTATTTTATGTCTTATTTATTGTTGTTCTTATCATCTTGAAAAATGTGCCCACTTTCTACCTAGTCATTACCCCTAGCAATTTCATTCTTCTAGCTCTGCCTGGAGAAATGTGAAGACAGAGGTCTTTTGTAAATTCACCTTCAGCCACAAGGTGGCAGTATGAACCATGTGATGGCCTGGTTAAGAAATTTTCTCTGGCTTCAAACCACTGTAATGGATAAGTTAGGTTTTAGCTTATATAAGGGAGAGAGGGGGTGAGGGAGGAGAGAAGAAGGGAAGGTGGGAGTAAGGGGAGAGAAAGGAGAGAAGGAGGGGAGAGAAAAAAGGGAGAGAGGAATGGAGAGAGGGAAGGAGAGAGGGAGGAAGGAAATGATAGGAGATGCTCAAAGGAAACTTTTCATCGAATTACTACATTTCTAGTAGAACAAGGTTTGCATTCGGGTTGGGATTGAAACACTAAAAGCTAACAAGCAGACCAACTGGAAAAATGCTGCTGCTGCAGCTTCCTTCATGAGCACCAGATAATATTTCCAGCCTATTCCTTCACAGAGGTGCAGATAAGAACACCTTAGTGTGGAAAGAACTTACACCAGGGGACAGGATTACCTGTAAAGAGCGCTCCATCCAATCGTTGTTCTGGAACTGCAGTGAGTAAGTCTCCTGATCCAAGAGCAGAGCCATCCAGCCATACGAATTAGACAATGTGTCGCCTACGTACTTGACCGTGATTGTCTTATTTTTGCCGTCAGTCACGATTAGATTCTTAGGAACCTCGAGGGCCTTATCTCTATAGTGAATTAGAAAGAAAAGAATTCGTAAGTAAAAGTTCCCAGTCAGTGCCTGGGAGTTAGCTCAGCAGTTAAGAGTACTTGCTGCTCCTCCGTGGGACCAGATTTGAATCTCAGGATCCACAGGGCTGCTGGCAACTGTATCTAACTCTAGTTCCAGGGGACTCAACTCCCTCTTCTGGAGTCCATGGACACTTCACATAAACTGTGCACAGACATACATGCAGGCGAAGCACACATATAATTAAAATGAATGAATAAATAAGCTCTAAAAAATTAATTCCATGGTAATTTTCCCATTCTATATCAAATGCCTTCCTCTTCCATGGTCTGTATTCTTCCCTGCTGGTGATATCAGGAGGGTTCTACATATGTGTCCACGGTGTTCACAATCTATGCAGATCAGAAGTCTAGGAGACTGCCACCAGAAGCCTTGCATAGATTAGACCTCAGTGGTGGAAGTGGGTAGGCAACATTCGTATCTGAAATCACTAATAAATGTCACCTTAATGTCCACACGGGCTAGAATAAAATACGACTAATTTAACAATTGTCTACAGTAAGAATTCTGCCACGTAGTAAACTTCTTAACAACAGAGAACACATTGTTTTGAGTAATTTGATTTCCTAGATCTTTCATGAGCCCAGAGCCTGCTGGGTCTAAACTACTCAGTACCCTTCTCCTACTGCCCAAGAGAAATGACTTCAGTAGTGTTCCCTGGAATGAAGATCCTAGCATCTCTCCCAGGGCCTGGTCTACTGCATGAACATACTGCCGTAACTGACCCTTGATGCTCCTGGGTTTGGTGACCTCTGTGTTTGCACAGGGTTCTATGCACACTGCTGACTATCTGGCTTCTTATAAAATGGAGACGGGTTGGATAAGGTCTTCCAATAGCAGCCTGCACTATCTTGCTTACTTTTTTTTAATTTTATTTATTTTTTTATTAAAAATTTCTGCCTCCTCCCCGCCTCCCTTTTTCCTCCCCCCACTACCCATGCTCCACTCCCTTCCCTCTCCCTCTCCAGTCTGAAGGGCAGTCAGTGTTCCCTGCCCTGTGGAAAGTCCAAGGTCCTCCCCACTCCATCCAGGTCTAGGAAGGTGAACATCCAAACAGGCTAGGCTCCCACAAAGCCAGAACATGAAGTAGGATCAAAAACCCATTGCCATTGTCCTTGGCTTCTCAGCAGCCCTCATTGTCCACCATATTCAGAGAGTCCGATTTTATCCCCTGCTTTTTCAGTCCCAGTCCAGTGGGCCTTGGTGAGCTCCCAATAGATCAGCTGCACTCTCCGTGGGTGGGTGCACCCCTCGTGGTCCTGACTTCCTTGCTCGTGTTCTCCCTCCTTCTGTTCCTCATTTGGACCTTGGGAGCTCAGTCCAGTGCTCCAATGTGGGTCTCTGTCTCTAGCTTCATGCATCGCCAGATGAAGGTTCTATGGTGATATTCTTGCTAACTTTTATAAAGCGTTGTATACAGAGCTTATTTTACCAAATGAGGAAACTGAATCAGACTGTAGTAGAACAATCCCTAGACCTCCTGACTTGTTCTGGGTAGCCCATCCCAGAAAGTGATTTTGAAGACTTTATTAGAACATAAATATATCTAGTCAAAAGTTCAGACTCTGAAAATAAAAGAAAATGGAAACAAAAAAAATGAGGATGTTTTTAAAGTTCAATAAACATATAGCTGTATTTTTCACCTTTTGTTCAGATTTCATGAGAACTTTTCACCATGGCATTTAGCCACATGCAAATAATGACTCTCTGAAAGGAAGGGGAGATGAGACAGAGAGGCTCAAGACTTCTCACAGTGAGATGGAACCTGAATGCATCTAAGCCCAGATCATAACGCAGTAGTTTATTAATAAAGAGGAAACATTTGTGTAGAGACAGTCCTTACTACATCACCAAACTTGTCATGATCTCCTGAGTTCAAATGAATCCCTGCCTTTGCCTCACAAGTACTTGAGATTAGAGAGATGCACCATTGTAACTAGATAAAAACGGGAATAGTGAATAGTGGGGCAAGGAGGAGACACGGTAAAGGATCTCAAGTTGCAGCTCTCCCTGGGCCACAGAGAGGGACTCTGTGTATGCTGGGTAGTTTCTGTCCCCTTGACACAAGCTAGGGTCGTCTGGAAAGTCAGAACCGGGATTGTAAAAATGCCTCCATAAAACTGGATCATAGGCAAGAAAATGGGGCATTTACTTGGTTAATTATCAATGTGGAGGGCACAGCCCACTATGGGTTAAGTCATCATTGGTTGTGAGTGTCTAAGAAAGCAAAGCGAGCAAGTCGCCGTTTTTAAAGGAATAATACATGGGAGCAAGGCACTCCTCAAAGATCCTCCTCAACGGCTTCTGCTTCCGTTCCTGCTTCCAGGTTCCTGCCAGGATTCCTTTCTTGACAGACAATGATAGGGACCTATAAGCCAAATAAACTCTTGATTCCCAAGATGGTTTTGATCACGATGTTTTAGCAAAGCAATAGGAAGCAGACTAAGATTTTTTTTCAAATAAACAAAAGGAAATAAAAAATGGCTTTGCCAGTTAGAATAAAATGAAAATAGTTAGAAGTAAAATACAAAGGTAAACTGTATACCTCAGCATGTGTGAACTTGGGAATTTATTAACCCTTTAAATTTTGGCTTCTTTTCTTCTGGCATGAAGACAACGCATTCTTGATTCCTTACCATCTGTTTGAAATCCTAAACTGTCACGGGTATAACACGATAACAAAACTGCCTTTTGACATTGAGGCAGAATTGTTACCAACAAAGTACAAATTGAGGACTACACTATCAAATAAAACAGACTAAATTAAAGAAGTTTCATGCTTCAGTATGTTTGAGACTTCTGATGGTGTGTACTGAGTGCCTATGGTCTTCTTGTGGCTATGGGTCAATGACTCGGCATGAAGGGGAAGTTCACTGTGATGCCTTGTCATTTAACACAGGACTATAGGCTTTAATGTTGCAGGCCATTCTCCCGGGTATTTCTTGTGAGATTAAACACATTTGTTTCCCCTACTAATGAAATAAGAGGAATCAAAAAACCCTGTTGCATTTGAATTAGATAACTATTCTGTCCCAGGATTTACCTAGGTGGTATTACCTAGATCACAATAAGCTTAAAGGAAGTACTTTTCCATCTTTATGTTTTAGACACCTAGGATTTACCTCACCGATTTCTACTAGGATTTGTAGTAGAACTAACTATTAGTCAAGTCTTAACTTAAATTCTTAGAACCAGAATGGACACGTACAAAGTTTGCTCCAACTTTGAATCCAAGGTCTAGTCTCCCCCATTGCCTTTCATCCTCTTCCTCTTCCCAATTAATGATACATTCATGTTCCACTCTTAGAATTTTATAGTACATTTTTAATATTATTGTTGTTTGAGACACGGTCTCATCATATAGTCAAGGCTGACCTCAAACTCACTGTTCAGGCCAGCTTTGAATTCTCCAGCTCATCATCACTACAGTTAGAACTGCAGAACTGTAATATTTAGAAAACCCTTTAGAATAATAAACATTTTTCTTCATCTCTTTGCTATGTATCATCCAAACTGTACACCTTCTGGTTGGAGTCACGAGACCTAGGAGTGTACAGCCGAATTTGTGCAACTAATACATTGAAAAATGAAAAAAAAAAGACATCTAAGAAATAAATGTAAAACGAAAGTGATACGAGGAGAAAAAAGTTTCAAGCAAGAAACATGAAGGAGATAGATATATCAATCAGCTCTCGCAAGCACTATGATCCAATTTGAAGTGGGATTCTCCACAGTTCAGAGATCAGGTCTATATGAGCCATCTTCAATAGTGACTCTTTCAGTTTCTATAGGGACAGAAAGACTGAATAATGAACTGCACAGCCTAATCCAGAGGAGACTAAATGAGATGTCAAAACTTCTAATCATTGATCTGCTATGTTAAATTGTCTTTCACGCAATAACATTCAAAAGATACTTGTTCAATGAATAAACAAGTGATGTGATAACTGTGTCTGAATATGCTGACTGGCTACTGTGTGATGTGTCTGCCTAATGAAGGTTCAATACAGAGAATCATACAAGTGTCAGATGAATCCTAAACTTATTAACCAAAGATTAGCAGTTGATTATAACTTAACAGAATTTGTTAAGTCAACTCTAAGCTATATACTATTTACCAAAATGACTCAGACCTTTAAAATGTTGCATTTGGAAACCCTCTTTGTGGCATGAACAATGTGCTTTGAGTAAGTCATGATTTTTTAAAATGCTGAGGTTTTCATATAAACTCTCATCTCTTCTACCCATGTTTTGTCAGTTGAACCACTTTAGAAAACATCTTACTTTTCTTTTTCAAATGTTTGATGACCTATGAATGTCTACGAGCCTTTGCTTCTGAAAGGGTTTCCTACTTCTGCTACCCTGGTACTTCATAACTTGGAGGTGTTCATTACAGACACCACAATGGTCAGATCCTATAGGTAGTCATCTTTTATGAGATTTATATGATGTTGCTGCTGCCCAGGTTATCGTGGGGATTTGAGACTTCTTCATCTTCCAGGATGCAGCAGTGGTTGACCTTGGCATCCATCTAGCCTGTGATGTTCCTCAGGGTCTTGTAGTTCTGGGTTTCACGGCACTGCTTGCTTAGGTCTTAGTGAGTTCTACCAATGTGTAGCAAAATCTGTTGAACAGCTCCATATGCAAGGCACAGTAGGCCTTCACATACCAAGCTGTGTTTTAAAATCTCGTTGAAATCAAAGTAATCTCCAAGGACTAGGCTCTGCCTCTTGGTACCATAAGCATCATCTAAGCTCCATAAGTCATTGAAGCAGCTACAATGAATATGAATAATACCATCATGCCCAATATGCTGGGACAAGTACTTTTCTATTTCCCATTCCTTTTCCTGAGCCAATTATTCACCATTTTGGTCCACTATGATCTTGCTGAGTTGCTGATGTTTGGAGACATCTACCTCCATAGTCAACCCAAAGT